GTATAGCCTTAAATTACTTTAAAAGACTTAAATAAGTATTCAATTTAAGAAACCAGAAATCAAATAAACCGAAAAAAAAAATGGCAGGTGGGAATAAAGATAAAGCCATTCTTATTAACTACTTATTTCAAAGAATAAATAAGGCCAAATACCAGGTTTCTTGGAAATTCCAACTGAAATAAATTTGGGGTAAAAACATCCTTAAACTTATATTTAAAGCAGGACATCCCAGTCTCAGTATTTCGCAGTATAATCTCTCCTAATGACCTAATAGTTGTGGGCAATATAGAAAGAATTGGAGAGGGTGGGGAACAAACAAGCCTTACGATTGGAGAGAATATGAGAGGATTTTTAACTGCGTCTCTTTCACATTTGTATGAATCAAAAGTCAAAAGTGAAAGCAGCATTTTCCAAAATAACACTATTCAGTTAGCACTGCTATAAATTCTTTAGTTACCTTTATTTTACTAAGAAGATACTACTGGCTGGCAGTCAACTCTGCATGTTAATGGAGTTGTTTTTCTAAGTAGTGGTGCCCTTCTCTTGTAACCAAGGACATATGGGGGAAACCACCAGGACAAAACAAATTTCCTGTGCCACCTACACTGGCACTGAGAGGATTTCTCTAATAAACTGACCCACCGTTTATAGTTAAAAACAACTTTTTTTTTAAACAACTATTTTAAATTAACTGTAAATCCCTTTAAGGATTTAGAAACCTACTTAAAACATCGAAAACTAATTTTTTTTGAAGATTTTATTTATTCATGAGAGATACATAGCGAGGCAGAGACATAGGCAGAGGAAGAAGCAGGCTCCCTGTAGGGAGCTCACGACCTGAGCCAAAGGCCAACGCTCAACCATTGAGCCACTCAGGTGCCCCTAAAACTAATTTTACATTTCTGTAAGGATTTTAAATCCTTTTAAGATTTAAAACCAAACTATAAGCAAAGTTTGTTGATAGTCCTTGGGCAGAGAGGCCTAGATAGCCTCCTTTGCATTCTTCCTGGCTGTACTGCCCTTATCCTATCAGGGACTACTTTCAGTTTTTATTGGTTTCCACAATTTGAGAGGAAGTAAGGACCAGCACCCCATGAGCCCTCTCCTATATTAAACCCATGAATAAAAAAATGGTGCCTTACTCAGCTGAACATCCCAAACTGGAAATTACTTCTAAATTATCCGCATACAAAATCTAGGTAACCTTTGTTCAATAATTAACTTTTAGTGAAAAAAAATTAACTATAGTATTTGAAGACTCTCAAGTGAACATAACAAGCCAAAAGTCTTAGGCAGTATGAGGTAAATAGCCTGCATTTCTTAATGAGCCTCTATGCCTTTTTCTGCATTAAAAAATAAAAATGAAAACAAAGTTGAATAATAGAGTCATATTGAGGAATTTAGGTGCGTTCATCCTCTAATCTAAACAGCACTCTAACCCAGTGTTAATAGAATTATTTAGGCAGTCCAGGTGGCTCAGCGGCTTAGCGCTGCCTTCAGCCTAGGGTGTGATCCTGGAGACCCAGGATTGAGTCCCACGTCAGGCTCCCTGCATGGAAGCTTGCTTCTCCCTCTGTGTCTCTGCCTCTCTCTGTCTCTCATAAGTAAATAAATAAAATCTTTTTTTTTTTTTTTTTTAAAGAGAGGAGGATGAGCACTGGGTGTTATTCTGTATGTTGGTAAATTGAACACCAATAAAAATTAATTTATTAAAAAAAAAAAAAAAGAGAGAGGATCCCTGGGTGGCTCAGCGGTTTGGCGCCTGCCTTTGGCCCAGGGCGCGATCCTGGAGTCCCGGGATCTAGTCCCACGTCAGGCTCCCAGCATGGAGCCTGCTTCTCCCTCCTCCTGTGTCTCTGCCTCTCTCTCTCTCTCTCTCTATGTCTATCATAAATAAATAAATAAATCTTTAAAAAAAATAAAAAAGATTAAAAAGAAAAGGAAAAAAGAATTTTAAATGAAGTTTCAGGGGCACCTGGGTAATGCAGTCGGTTAAGCGTCCAGCTCTTGGTTTTGGCTCAGGTCTGGTCTCAGGTTCATGAGATCAAGCCCCCAATCAACCCACGCTCAGCACTCTTTCTCTAAAATAAATAAATTTTTAAAAATGAAGTTTCAGTGGTTTTCAGGTATTGCTAAGGTTAATAACTTCTCTCCAGATAAAGATTCCAAAACAAATACTTTCCACTCCCATTTAAGCAAAATATAATGCAGAGTATGGGAATGCACCTTATCAAGTGGGTACAATAATTTCTACAGTGGGTACTTTTTCTCAGTAGGCAAAATTATCTCTGGATATTTTTGGGTAGGACTTGGGTCTCTGAAAATTCAAAGGTTAATGTCTTCTTTTTGCATTTAGGCTATGGGCACCCTGCTCTGAGTCATAAGCTAATACAGCTAATTCAGGGTGGATGGGGGCAGGAGAGATAATAAAGATCTCTTGCCTCCACATTCATACAGTATAATTCCATTGTGCATATATGGTAGGACTTCACTGTGTCCAGCTGATTCTTAATCCTTAAATAAAACAATATAAGGAGTGTTTAGTAGCTCAAGATCTGCAGTTTTTCCAATTATTTTATTCAAGATTTTATTTATTTATATGAGAGAGATAGAGCACAAAGGGAAGAGGGAGAGAGAGAGAAGTAGACTTCCCACTGACCACAGAGCTTGACTTGAGGTTCCATCCCAGAACCGCAGGATCATGACCTGAGCCACAGGTAGATGCTTAAATGACTGAGCCATCCAGTTGCCCCAGATTCGACTTTTTATTTTTATCTTCTTAAAAATATTTTATTTATTTATTCATGAGAGACACAGAGAGAGAGAGGCAGAGACACAGGCAGAGGGAGAAGCAGGCTCCATGCAGGGAGCCTGATGCAGGACCTGATCCCGGGTCTCCAAGATCACGCCCTAGGTCGAAGGGAGGCGCTAAACTGCTGAGCCATCCAGGGATCCCTAGATTCAACTTTTTAAACTCAATTTTAATAACCACTCCTAAAATACAAATACACAATAAGAACTGTTAAGTTTAAGTACAATAATGGAAAGCCCAATGGTTTGCAATTTTTATGAAATGTGAATCTCAAAAGTTGCCATATTCTTAACTTTATACCCAAAGGGGTACAATTTGAAAAGTGCATAAATTAAGTACACTTATCTTATTATACAGATCAGTATATTTGACACTTGCTTCAGCACTTATTGATCATCTACTGTGCATTAAAAATATTAACTCAGGATTCCATTTCACAAGCATTTACGTCTGCTTAGCTGAAAAATGGAGTTGAAAACAAAACAAAAAAATGTGTAATTTAGTTGGAGCCACCACAGCAGCACAGAAAAGGACTAACACTTATAAAACACATGAAAACCCAGAAATTAATTTAGTGTAAAGGAAAGGTCTGTTGTTTCTCATTATTGGATACGTCTCACTCTAAGTGTTTAATACATTCTACCATCTTGGAAGACGAGTTTTAAATTAAGTATAATGATCCAGCTCTCTAAAGGGAAAATACTGAAAGCGAAATGCTTCGGTCGATTGACATGGCAAACTGAGAAGTGACTTGGAAAGTGAAAACGGAGGTGAGTTAGTAATGAACCCAAAAAGGTGCTTAGCCACTTACCCAGAGATTTATTAAATGAGAATGGATCGCAGCTTTCCACAGGTCGTTCCACTGCCGGTAAGAAGATAGTGGTGAACTTTGGGTCCCTTTTTTTCACTAGTCAACAGCCACCCTCACCTACACGCGGAGTACATATTTCGCACTCAGCAAGCTCCCCCCCCCCCCAACAAATCTTGATTGAGGGGATCCCTGGGTGGCGCAGCGGTTTGGCGCCTGCCTTTGGCCCCAGGGCGCGATCCTGGAGACCCTGGATCGAATCCCACATCGGGCTCCCGGTGCATGGAGCCCGCTTCTCCCTCTGCCTATGTCTCTGCCCCTCTCTTTCTCTCTCTCTGTGACTATCATAAATAAAAAACAAAAAACAAAAAAAATCTTGATTGAATGAAAACCTACTTCACTCATATTGATACCAACCCCGGACTTACGGTCTCACAAATTACCTCCCAAAAGACTTACATGATAACCCAAAAAACTGAGAAAGTAGGTGAAAGCTTTGGGGATTTCTGTAAACACTAGGAGCCAGAGAGCCAATGGGGCCTACACCAGCCCGACTTCCCAAAGCTCTGGGGACTGTATTGCGGCTATTCAGCTTCGTTCTCACGAGGAGGTACCCGATAGGCCGCAGATCCATAGCCTCCCACCCGGGGGCGCTGAGTGACCTGGGGGTATCCCCACTAAAGTTAGTACCTGCGAAGCTGCGACATAGAGAGTGGCTCGGGGCTCTCATTACGGAGGCCGAGGCCTGGGGCCGGCCAGCTGCGCCTCCTGGCTGAGGGCTCTGCGCTCCGGAGCTGCAGTGACAGCAGGGGTCGCAGATAGATACCTCACGCTTCAGGAGGCTCGTGGCTCGTGGGCCCGGGTGTTTCACTCCTAGGACTGCGCGAGTTGCCGCACTCACATTGACCGGCGCTCTTCAAGAGTGCCCTCACAGCTCAAGCGAGCACTCCTGCCTTAAGCCCAGCAGCCGGTGGCCTCCCGGCACCGCCATCGTTAGTGTTTGTTTTCATCCGCTCGGATGAAGGCGGGGGGGGGGGGGGGAGGCGGGAGAGGGCTAGGAGGAAATACAGCTGCCAAACCTCATCCGCACTTTCGCTACAGCGTGGACGCCCTGTTTCATCTCTTTCCTCTTTATTCCCATAAAAGTTGATTTCCTTTCCATGTAAATCTTTCTCACCAGTTTTTCCAAGTGTCTCAGAAGGAAAGAAAGTCGCAAAGGCGGAGGTTCTTTGAAAGAGTGAGAATGTTTGGCCGAATGTGGAATGTGCGCCGCCGAACCGCACGTCGCCGCGGCAGCGGCAGTGAGGACGCGGCGTGGGGAGGATGCTGACGCAAGGGGGCGGTACCTATGGTGAGCGCCGTGGCGGCTAGTGCGCGGCGGCGGGTTCCACCGGGGGGCCGGACCCGCTGGGTGGGTGGGGAGTGCTGCTGGTAACCCGGCAGCCGCGGAGAGGTGGGTGACGGGCCTTGGCTGACTTTGAGTGGCCGGCGCATAAGTATCATTTCTAAGGCACTTTTTAAAAGCCTGTCGTTAGAGCACACGATCTGAGTCCGCCGGGCTGGACCGTGGGCAGTTTTTTGCCCCCACCCCTCTTGCTAGACTGGTTTGAGCGCCCCTCACGTTCCTCTCGTACTTACCAGGTGGAGCCAGAGGGCTTGAGTAATGCGTCGTGACTAATCCCTGCCCGGAGTAGTTAAGACTTAAGTCAGCCAGTTCGTGGCCTGTGTAGTTAGGAGCAGACCTCTTTTTCCTTTTGGGTAATTATGCTATCGCCTCCATTAATCTTTTTTGTAAAGGATTTTATTTTTTTTAAAGATTTTATTTATTCATGAGAGAGAGAGGCAGAGACAGACACAGGCAGAAGGAGAAGCAGGCTCCAAGCAGGGAGCACGACGTGGGACTCGATTCTGGGTCTCCAGGATCACGCCCTAGGCGGAAGGCGGGCGCTAAACCGCTGAGCCACCCAGGCTGCCCCAAGGATTTTATTTTTAAGTAATCTCTACCTCCAGCATAAGGCTGGAACTTAAAACCCAGAGATCAAGAGACCCTCCCTCTAGGGACTGAGCCAGCCAGGTGCCCCTCCTCCATTAATCCTTTTCTCTTTCCAGTTCAAATCCCAAGGATTAAGTGAGCCACCAAAATCATCTCTCATCCTCCCTCCCTCCCTCCCTCCCTTCCTTCCTTCCTTCCTTCCTTCCTAACTCTTGTGTCCAGGGAGCTGCTCTGCTATAATACAAAACAACTCCATTATCCTTCAAACCAAAGCAAGCCTATTGTACAGCTATGAGTTAGTGGAGAAAAACCCAAAGTTACAGGTATAGCACCTTTTGCTTGGACAGAATGAAAGTTCGAGAAAAGGAGCTGTTGTAGGCTTTGAGTCACTTTAAAGTCTTTAGTCGGTTTCTAATGCTTTTTTTTTTTTTTTAACCTTTACAGAGAGAAGAGTATAAATGCCAGAGCCATTTAACTGATGGGTAGCTGCTGAATTCTGACACTTCCTTAAATACCTTCTTGAACCAACATCTTCACTGGGAGGAATTCAGGAAAAGTAGCAGAGGGAAGGAGAGATCACATTTCTGTGTACCATGGCTATACCAATAACAGTGCTTGACTGTGATCTCTTGCTCTATGGCCGAGGTCACCGCACACTGGACCGCTTTAAGCTGGATGACGTGACTGATGAATACTTGATGTCCATGTATGGGTTTCCTCGACAGTTCATTTATTACTTGGTGGAGCTCTTGGGGGCAAGTCTTTCTAGACCTACTCAGAGATCCAGAGCTATTAGCCCAGAGACACAGATCCTTGCAGCACTGGGCTTCTATACTTCAGGTTCCTTCCAGACTCGGATGGGAGATGCTATTGGAATCAGTCAGGCATCTATGAGTCGATGTGTTGCCAATGTCACCGAAGCACTTGTGGAAAGAGCCACACAGTTCATTCGCTTTCCAGCTGATGAAGCCTCCATGCAGGCTCTAAAGGATGAATTCTATGGCTTGGCAGGGATGCCAGGGGTAATAGGGGTGGTTGACTGTATCCATGTGGCAATCAAGGCACCAAATGCTGAAGACCTCTCCTATGTGAACCGCAAAGGTCTGCATTCTTTGAACTGCCTGATGGTGTGTGACATCAGAGGGGCACTAATGACTGTGGAGACCAACTGGCCAGGCAGCCTACAGGACTATGCTGTGCTACAGCAGTCTTCCCTCAATAGTCATTTTGAAGCTGGAATGCACAAAGATAGCTGGCTGCTCGGTAAGTTTGCAGGTGCACAAGCTTCATTTTGTAGCCATAGAAAAATGATGTAGCAGAGCAGAATGAAATTTGAGAATCTATAGACCTGAGTCTCAGTCCTGTTATCTTTTTTTTAATGAGACATCAGGTAAGAACTCTAAGCCATCCTTTAAAAAAAAATTGACACTTAAAAGACATTTATTTAAGCTTAAAGACATAATACTTGGGACACCTGGGTGGCTCAGCAGTTGAGCATCTGCCTTTGGCCCAGGGCATGATCCCGGAGTTCTGGGATCGAGTCCCACATCAGGCTTCCTGTGAGGAGCCTGCTTCTTCCTCTGCCTATGCCTCTGCCTTCTCTCTGTGTTTCTCGTGAATAAATCAATAAAATATTTAAAAAAAAAAAAACATAGTACTTAACCCAGAGTCTCACTTCTAAGAATTTATCTTGAGGCATATGTTCATAAATATGAACATTGGTGGTGTGAAATAAAATTACACTGCCAGCAGTGTTTGTATTTGGAAACAAAAGCAACAACAGTCCTACAAAAATGTTGCCCTTGAATACAGCTGAAATTCTTTTTTTTTTTTTTTAAGATTTATTTATTTATGAGAGAGAGAGAAAGAAAGAGAGGCAGAGACACAGGAGGAGGGAGAAGCAGGCTCCATGCCAGGAGCCCGACAGGATTCGATCCCGGGACTCCAGGATCGCACCCTGGGCCAAAGGCAGGTGCTAAACCGCTGAGCCACCCAGGGATCCCCCTACAGCTGAAATTCTTAATCTGTATGGATATGGTTAAATATAATACATCTATACAAGTGAGCCTTAATTTTTTTATCATGTATATAATGTTTAAAAAAATAATGCCAATAGTAGTAATACCTATTGTTAGGATTAGGTAGTATATATGAGAGTTCACTATAAAGTGTTGTACAGATTTTTGTTCTTGGTTATTGTCACTGTGATATCTATATGAAAATGATACGGGTGCCTGCATGGCCTAGTCAGTTAGGTTGCCTTGGGCTAAGGTCATGATCCCGGGATCCTGGTATGGAGCCTTGCGAGGGACTCTGCGCTCCATGGGAAGTCTGCTTTTCCCTCTCTCTGTGCCCCCCTCTGCAAGTGCCATTGGGAAGCCTGACTTAGTGATTCAAGTAGGACAAGAACCCATTCGAAAATGAGCAGTGCAAACTGAGGTTACTGCACAGCTGGGAAGAATAGTTGGGTAACAGTGATAATACCCTTGAGCTTGGCAGCTTATTCTGTTTATTTGTTTGTGTTAAAGCACTACTCTTAAATAAGCAACAGGACAAATACACAACGACATATTATGTGAGATGAAAATGATTGAAAGACCTCTCTTTTAAAACCACTAATCATGGGCAGCCCAGTTGGCTCAGCGGTTTAGCGCCGCCTTCAGCCCAGGGAGTGATCCTGGAGACTCGGGATTGAGTACCTTGGGCATCCTGCATGGAGCCTGCTTTTCCTTCTGCCTCTCTCTCTCTCTCTCTCTCTCTCTCTCTCTCTCTCTCTCTCCCTCCCTCTCTCCCTCTCTCCCTCCCTCTCTTCCTCCCTCCCTCTGCCTCTCTCTCTCTCTGTCTCTCATGAATAAGTAAATAAAATCTGTAAAAACAAAAACAAAACCACTGATCATATCTCTGCACTGCATGTATTCGTAACAGTGTTTAACATGCAGTAGATGCTCAGAAATTATTTTTCTGGACAGCCCCGGTGGCTTAGCGGTTTAGCGCTGCCTTCAGCCCAGGGCATGATCCTGGAGACCCAGGATCGAGTCCCACGTCCGGCTCCCTGCATGGAGCCTGCTTCTCCCTCTGCCTGTCTCTCTCTCTGTCTCTAATAAATAAATAAGTAAAATCATTAAAAGAAATTATTTTTCTTTAATATTCTTTATTTCTCCCCTGTTCCAAGTGGGAAGAGACTGCTATCACACTGGTTTAGAGTTGCCAGGATACTTACTCCACGTAATGTATTGGAACTCAGTGATTTACTTGAGTTGTTGCTTCTGCATTCTGTCTTCAATGTGCTCCCTTTCTCTTTATCCTACTAGAGTTTTTCCTTAATCCTACCTTGTGTCGGGGTGCCTGGTGGCTCAAGCAGTTAGGGTCTATCTTCAGCTCGGGTCATGATCCCAGGATCTTAAAAAAAAAATCCTACCTTATGCTTGTTTTGAACTTTCAAATTTCATTTTTTTAAAAAAGGTTTTATGTATTTATTTGAGAGAGAGAGCATGAGCAGGGAGAGGGTCAGAAAAAAGGGAGAAGCAGACTCCCTGCTAATAAGCAGGGCTTGATTCCGGGGCCCCAGGATCATGACCTGAGCTGAAGGCAGACACTTAGCTGAGCTACTGAGGTGCCCTGCCCCTCAAATTTCATTTTCAAACAAGTTATACCATGAAACGAAGGAAAGTCTGTTTTGTAAGTGTCTCATGTAGTTACTTCTGCAGCTGTGAGAGTACTTGGGTTCCAAGTTCAATTTTTAAAGTATTTATTTATTTATTTAGAGAGAGAGTGTGTGTGTGCAAGTAGGGGGAGGGGCACAGGAGGAGACAGGATGAGAATCTCCAGCAGACCTTGTGCTGAGTGTGGAGCCCTATAGTGGGGCTGGATCTCAGGACCCAGAGATTGTGACTGGAGCCAAAACCAAGAGTCAGATGCTTAACTGACTGAGCAACCCAGGCACCCCCAAGCTCATTTCTTATGAAATCACTTTGGTACCTAATTGTAAAGCCAGCTAAAACATGGTGAGTGCTTAGAACTTGTCAGGCAATGTTGTAAGCACTTTGCATTGGATTATCTCACTTAATTGCTATAAAAACTATTGAGGAGTTTAACACTAATATTAACGTTTTTTTAATATTAACATTTTTATGAAGGAGTAAATTAAGATACAATATCTAAGCCATTCGTGGTTAACTTTTAAAACTAGGTCACATGAGGAATTAACTCTATTTGGCAAATAGTCCCTTCATTAAGGATTTCAGGGTCATGTAGGAATTACTTTTTTTCTCTTTTCCTACACCTTGGGACCTCAGATTCAGTTGGAAACATGACTATTGTTTTATGGTATTGACAGGATGTAGTTGGAAATAAGGGAAAACTTGGGCAGCCCTGGTGGCTCAGCGGTTTAGCGCCACCTTCAGTCCAGGGCATGATCCTGGAGATCCAGGATCGAGTCCCACTTCGGGCTCCCTGCATGGAGCCTGCTTCTCCCTCTGCCTGTGTGTCTGCCTCTCTTTCTCTGTCATAAATAAATAAATAAATAAATAAATAAATAAATAAATAAATAAATAAAATCTTTAAAAAAATAAGGAAAAACTCTGACAATTCTTTTTTTTTTTTAATATAGGTTCTACACTCAATGTGGGGCTTGAATTTAAGACCCTGATATTAAGAGTCACATGCCCTACTGAGTGAGCCAGCCAGGCGCCCCAACTCTGACAAATTTTTATGTACTTTTCTGATTCTCCTCTTTTCAGAAAGAGTTGAAATTGGGAGAGATGGATGTGGTAACAACATTTAACAAATGGTTATTAAGGCCACTTTTGGTACCAGGCTACATACTAGGTACTAGGGATGGGAAAAATATACCCATGTGGAAATTGATTCCCTTAGTACTACTAGCAGTTCTCTAGCACATACCCTTGCAAAAACCTCCATGAGCTCTAACAGGAAAACTAGTTTGAAGACCTCTCAACTAGTATAGTGTTTCACAAATTTTCCAGAGCGAGAGAGTCATCTGGGGAATTTATTAAAAATATACATCACTGGGCCCCACTTCAAACTATGGGAATAGAATCATGAAGGAAAAAATGGATATCCATTTTTAGCAGATGCTCAAATGATTTGTACAAATAGATAACTTTGGAAGACACTGGTATCTAAAAAATGTGTTGGATAATGGGGAAAGATGGCAGGATTATGAGGATGACAAGATGTTAAAAAAGATGAGATGGCTGATCATATCTTAACAGCATCAGATTTGTGGAATAGTTCTAAATTTGCCAAATGTAGAATGGACTGTGATTCCTCTTTGTTTTTGTTATTGTTTTTTTATTTTTTTTAATTTTTAAAAAATATTTTTTAAAATTTATTTTATTTTTATTTTTTATTATTTTATTTATTTATTCATGAGAGACAAACACAGAGAGAGAGGCAGAGAGGCAGAGACACAGGCAGAGGGAGAAGCAGGCTCCATGCAGGGAGCCTGACGTGGGACTCCCTCCTGAGTCTCCAGGATCATGCCCTGGGCTAAAGGTGGTACTAAACCGCTGAGCCACCCGGGCTGCCCTATTGTTTTGTTCTTATTTTTTTTATTTTTTTTAAAATTTTATTTATTTATGATAGTCACAGAGAGAGAGAGAGAGAGAGAGAGAGAGAGAGGCAGAGACATAGGCAGAGGGAGAGGGAGAAGCAGGCTCCATGCACCGGGAGCCCGACGCGGGACTCGATCCCTGGTCTCCAGGATCGCGCCCTGGGCCAAAGGCAGGCGCCAAACCGCTGCGCCACCCAGGGATCCCTATTGTTTTGTTTTTAGTATGAAATCACTTTTGTAAAATTTAAAACCAAGAACAACATTATATTGCTTAGATACAATATAAACAAATGCAGAGAAATGACAAACAAAAAATTTAGAATAGTGTTTCCATCAAAAGAGGGGTAAATGGGAACATCTGTGGTTTTGTAGTATATTTTTACCATGAATGTCACCCCTTCATATCCTCGTTCTCATCTGTCCCTTCAGAATTGCATTACCTTATTCCTTTTCTCTAAATGTACCTGGTCCTACAAAGGATTCCGCCTGAGTTCTTATTTCCTCAGCTCCTGGCCTAGTCTGGTTAAGCAGCTTTGGGTAAGATCTGCCAGAATGTCTTGTGGCTGACTGATCATGTAAGCAATTGTAATCTGGTTAGCAATTCTGATCCTAATCCCCTCCTGAGTGTCTGTTTTCCAGTGGTGCTTAGATTATAACCAGTTAATGACCATGGGGCATTTTATAAAAGGTCTGCATTAACTAGCTTATCCTTTTTGTCTCCCCATTTAAGGAAGGCTCATACTGTTTCTTAGAGAAATGTTTAACAAATACCATTTAGTATCTGTGCTTTGGCATTCATCATAAATGTTTATCTTATTCTCTGGCATTATCCCATTGTTTTCATGACTGAGTCTGATGTTAGCATTTTGTGACTAGCTCCCTCTTCCTTTGCCTGGCATATCACAGGATCGCTGACGGATATCTTGATCTTCTCATTCATAAAATCAGTTTCATAATATCTTACCGGGCAGAGCTGGGATTGGATAATAAGAGATAATATTTTTAAAGTGCCTAGCACAGTGCCTGCTACATAGTTGGTGTTCAATAAGTCAGTGATAGTATTTTCATTATTATTTAAAGGATCAGTTTCTTAAGTTCAGTATTTAGTAGATGTGAGTTCAACTAAAATAAAATACTTTGTACTTTGGGAGGGAAAAGTCAAGTAAATGTAAAATGTAAAATTTGAAAATATTATGACACTCTTTTAAAGATTTTATTTATTCATGAGAGACACAGAAGCAGAGACATAGGCAGAGGGAGAAGCTGGTTCCCTGCAGCGACCCTGATGCAGCATCTGATCCCAGGACCCTGGGATCACAAACTTGAGCTGAAGGCAGACGCTCAACCACTGAGCCAGCCACCCATTATGACATTCCTTTTTTTTTTTAAGACTTTATTATTATTATTATTATTATTTAAGATTTTATTTATTCATGAGAGACACAGAGAGAGAGGGGGGCAGAGATACAAGCAGAGAGACAAGCAGGCTCCATGCAGGGAGCCTGATATGGGACTGGATCCCAGGACTCCAGTATCACACCCTGGGCGGAAGGCAGGCGCTAAACCGCAGAACCACCCAGGCGTCCCCCCATTATGACATTTCTTAGATAATTAAAGCTAATCTAGCACCTACAATTAATACAATGTTATGTGTTATGTATTATGTATAAGTAAAAACATTTAAAAAAATTTAAAACAATTTAATCCAGTTCTTAAAAATGTAAGCTCCTGAAAGAGAGGAGTCCTGTATGTTTTTGGAACAGTGCCCAGACTCTCTGAACAGTCCATAATTATTTACCAAAACTGATAGTGGATCAGAAACACACTATTGTGCAAGTTGGTACTCTAGAGCCTATTTGTTTCAGATTTCTAGGGGGTTGTGCCTCTGCTTGAGACATTTCATCTGCCAGCTGTAGTGAGTCAGGACAATTAAGCGTTATAGAAACATTGTACTGTTGTAACAGGACATTGCATCCCAGCCTTGTATTTTATTTTGTTCTGAGCACTGCCTGAAATCATTTGATAAGGAAGTCACCTTAGGAAAATGCCTCATGTATATTATTTTAATTTTGGTTTCCTTATCACTATTACTATTTGTGTCATATTTATATTCTTGTTAATGTGAAATTCTACTAGTTCCTATCTTACAAAGGCAGGTTCCAGTGAATGTATTATCTAGGAACACCCGAGTTCTGATCTCCACCACAGGCGCTGGGACTTTTATCTTATTGTTCTTAGCACTGGGAGAATGAATGATTGTTGTCCGTGAAATACTCTGAAATCCCTAGGTAGTGTTTTCAGACCTGACACTTTAATGGTAAAGTTAGAAATTTTCCTCCCAAATGTTTTGAGCTCTCCTGGTGGAATTATCTTTTTTCTCTCTTGCACTTTTTCTCTTTGGAGAGTTTGAAGATTGGCTTGCTGTATGATAGTTTTTTACTAACCTTTCATTAAAGAACAATATCTCTGAGTTTGGAAAATCTAGAAATTTTATTTCCTTTAGTGCCTTTATATCCTTCCCACAGTTTTTTCAGACTTGGCTGTTTTTTCTTTGTTTTTAATTGGAAAATGTTCAGAAATGTATATGCACATTTTTTTAAAATTTGCCTATATATTGAGAATCTGAATTATTTCACAAGTTATCGTGATTATGCCTACTAATTTTATTTTTTATTTCAAAGTTCTTATTTAAATTCTAGTGAGTTAACATATAGTGTAATATTGGTTTCAGGAACAGAATTTAGTGATTCATTGCTTACATACAACACCCAGTGCTCATCACAAGTGCCCTCCTTAATCCCCGTCACCCATTTAGCTCCTCCTTCGCCCACCTCCCTTTCAGCAACCTTCAGATTGTTCTTTATAGTTAAGAGTCTTATGCTTTTGCCTCCCTCTTTTTTTTATTTTTTATAAGCTATCACCCTTTTTCTCTGTTGGTTTTAACAAGGATATTTCTAGCCAAGACCCATCTCTTCCTGCTTATGATCCTGGCATGCCTTCTTTTTACCACAATATTTCCCTTTTGGTTTTTCTGGGGCACAGTGGCTCCAGAGTCTGTTGCATTTTCTTATCCATTCTCTATGTGTTCCTGGATTTTTCTTTCTGTTTTTATTCCAATTAGAATAATTTATGATTTCTTTGGACCTTCCCCACAGGTGACAGTTCCTTCTTTCTGCGTACTTGGCTCATGACCCCCCTTCACATTCCTGAAACTCCAGCCGAATATCGTTATAATATGGCCCATTCTGCAACTCACAGTGTGATTGAGAAGACTTTCCGAACTCTCTGCTCCCGATTCCGCTGCCTGGATGGATCTAAGGGAGCACTGCAATACTCACCAGAGAAGTCTAGCCACATTATCTTGGCTTGTTGTGTCCTCCACAACATCTCCCTGGAGCATGGGATGGATGTTTGGTCCTCTCCAATGACAGGACCCATGGAACAGCCCCCTGAAGAAGAGTATGAGCACATGGAGTCTTTGGACCTAGAGGCTGACCGAATCCGTCAGGAGCTTATGCTCACTCATTTTAGCTAATGTGAAAGGTGTGGGGGAGGAACTTTCCAGAAGGAGTTGTGACATACCTTCTCCCTGACCATCCTCTAGAGAGTTCCATCATCTAGCATGACTGAGTATGTGGACACTTGTCACAAATTGACATTTAATATGTGTGTTTTAGAAGGGTTGTGGCTATGCTAGAATATCTTGATTCATTTTCAAATACATTAGCTAAACCCAAACCAAAACAATAGTTCCCTGCAAAAGTTCCACAGAACTCCAGGTTGAGCACCACTGACTTGAAAACTCCCTAGTAGCAGACTTGTATGATTGTGCCTACAGAATCAGAACAAAGGGGAAGACGACGTTCAGCCAGAATGTTTTTTGCTTGTTTAATTTTCTAGAGTTTTCAAATGAAAACAGCATTTGTTTGTCCTGAATTATTGGGTGGGTTTTTAGCTTTTCTACTTTGCTGCCTATATAGGCATAATCTGAGGCAAGTGTAAAGAACACATTTAAGGTAGGGAATGGTCTGACATAAGTTAAGTGGCTACTAATCTGAGTTTGCAGCTTTGTGTTTTTAAGATGTTAGGGATGGCCTGAAGCTTCCATCTTTAGTCTTTCTGCAGTAGTTGGACTGTGACTTGGACCTGGTTTCTAAGGAGAACATCTGGACTCCACAATCTCCTCTTTACAACCCAGAATAGAAGTTAGAGGCTAAGAACCCAATCAGCTTAAAGAAGACAAGTCAAATATAGATAAAATAGCAAGATTATACTTTACATATCTAAAGACCCTGATAGATTGATGAACAGAGGAGATTTTACCCAGGTTTTGAATTCTTTTTTTTTTTAATTTTTATTTATTTATGATAGTCACAGAGAGAGAGAGAGAGAGAGAGAGAGAGGCAGAGACACAGGCAGAGGGAGAAGCAGGCTCCATGCACCCGGAGCCCGACGTGGGATTCGATCCCGGGTCTCCAGGATCGCGCCCTGGGCCAAAGGCAGGTGCCAAACCGCTGCGCCACCCAGGGATCCCTTTACCCAGGTTTTGATAGCTCACATCTAAATAGATCACATTTCTTATGCTCATGATTTTAGAATGTCTTTTTGGCTATTATGCTTTGAAATTCCTTGTATATAAGGAAGATTTAAGGAATAAAGGCATTGTGAAAGTAGTTAAAAAAAAAAGGTAACAAGAAAATTTCTTGATGTGAAATGAATTTTGGTGTTAGACCTAGTTGGATATCTTGTGTGCAAAGTGATGGGCAGAATTTCCCAGGCAATAAATAATCTCCCACCAAGTCTTATTCTAAAATTGTACTGATATAAAAATAGCCTGATTGGAATAATGAAAGTGTGAATTAGGTTCACACTTTGGTGCCTTTGCTGGGACAAAAAAGAGATTTTCTTGAGGATTGCCTTGTTCCCAGTTTCTCATCAACTTACCATGTGATACCTCAGAATTGTCCTCTTGGATCATTTCCTACCTGCTTTTGGCAGTGTTAATCTGGTGATTTTCAAAGTAAAGAAATGAACAGCTGATGACAGAATAAATTTGGAAATAAATTGAGGGTGACTCATCACCACGATTAAAAACAATTATGGATTATTATCTGTTGTTTATTTCTACTCCAAATGCTATTTCCCATCATCATTCTACTCCATGAAGATTGGGTCCATTTGGCAGGAGGTTGAGCTTAATATGTACAATGATCTCATGGAGATGAGAATGGACAACAAAGAGGTACCTGCAAACATTAATTCTACTCATTGTACAACAGAGGTGCCCTGTTACATACTTTTCCTTTGTAAAATCTAACCTGTGACCAAGCTTGCTTTGTCTCCCTCATGATGCACTATTTTAACTCTCATGGTCTTTCCAGGTTTCCTGAGATGGCTAATTTTCCCTACAAGGTTTTGGTTCTGTTGTGCATATTGCATGAGGAAAGGGTGACTGCCATCCGTGTATCCTAAGTGGCAAGGTGGAGTGTGAGCCTTGAAAATGCTTGGCATTTTAGCTTTAAAAAACTACATTTAAGGAAAATTGGGGTTTTTCACAACTTAACTCACTAGATGGTAACATAAAGCCTGAGTGGGAGGGACAGTCTTGGAGAGATTTCAAAAGCAATTCAAGTCTATTACTTGCACACCAAAGATAATTTCTAAGTGCTGAACTGACTGAATACTGGCTGACAGTGTTTTTTCCTGGGAGCATTTTATTTCCTAATAATTCCACAGAGTAACTGTTGAAATCTATGTCTTTAATCTCCTTTCACCCTGAATTTTCACAGACCAGGATTTTTTCATTCCTTAGTTACAGTTTCACCAAAATTATCTTGGGGTAGGATCAGGGTCTGTACTTCCAAATTGCCAAAATTTGTTCCTAGGAGCTTTTTTATAGGTGCCTGCGAAGTCTTCTCTTGAGGTCTTTATTGTGGATTTTTGGTATCTTCCTGGTACAGTTTTGGGAAAGAGTCAAGGATTATGTAACCTTCATCTTCCCATAGATAATGCCATCTGGTCAGCATAGGAGTTTTCCAGATTTGCCCTTAGATGTTTCAAGACAGCAAAGTCCTAGGATATATAAAGAGAAAACCACAATATTGGGTCATCACTGGTTTACTAATTTCAAACTATACAAAATAGAGACCTCAAACTTAGTTTAAAATCAACTGAATAGAGATGAAGCTCCTTTCCTGACCCTTGGGCTATAAAGGATATATAGCAAATTAATCTAAGTCTAGACTAATGGGGTCTTCTTAGTGAAGACATAGAAAAGGTGGTGGGGAGAGAAGTAAAATAGAAGCTAGACAGATAACATATACTGTGATTGTATCCTGACTTGAAATGATAAATTGAAAACAACTCAAGGACCAAGCTCAGCAGTCAGTGTCCCTGGCAATGGAGGGAAGCTAGGAGGAAGACAAGAAAATAAGAAATCAGGAAAACTTAGTCATTGTATATGCACATGTCCTCAGGACCCATATCACTCTCTAGATCCAGCCCAGATTTTACGAAATGGTGAGAACAAGAGATAACCGAATTAAGTAAGAGCTCGTTCATTAAGAATGGCAATGCAGGATAGAAGGAAAGTCCTAGCTGAATGCTGGGAACACCTCAGTTCCCTAACACATTAAATTCACAGGCTTTTTTTTTTTTTTTTAATGACTATGCTCTAAACCACTCTTGTGATAATCAAATAGGAGTCATGAGATCTCATACTAAAGAGGAGCAAGGAAATTAGACCTTGAAATCATAAGTTAGTACATTTTTTTTAAAAGTCCATTTGAAAGGAGTATGTTTGCTCAACAAAATATTAAGAATCTAACATTTTGTTGAGACGTTAACCCTTATATGAAAGCTATGTAGCTTTCTATGAAAAGGCTGATTTCTTTGTCATTCTAGAGTCTTAAGATGTTCATACATTAAAATCCATTGATAAATTGCACCAATGAAAATATATCCTATATAAATAATTCCAAAGAAGGAAGCACCTCCTACTGTGAATGATTAAGTTGTGTTCTGGGATCTCCCCCGTGTGCTGCTCCGACATCATTACCTTGCTTCTACTTTACCATCTAGCACATTAACCAACAGTGCCATGAGACGAGGCTACCAAATAACAGAACAGAATTGCAACAGCAAAACCTACAGTTGGCTCATCATTTTGGCTGCTCAAGGCCCAATTCCTCTTCCCGGAATTCCTAATAAGATGACACATGGTACTGCTACAGAGTTCTTTCATCCTTCATTCAGCCCGATTTCTACCATGCAGAATGTAGTAGATGTTTCTTACAGCCCAGAGCCAATGTAAAGAAAGATTTTCTCCGCTTCTTTTCTCTCTCTTCACTCTCCATCCCAGGCAATTTCCTCATGTCTACATATCCTAATCCTCTTTTCCTGGCTTAGTCTTTACAAGTTCCTTCTGTGTGATTGGCAGTGGCTAGGTCCCTTCTTAGGGTTTGCCAACTGTCCTGGTTTGCCCAGAGCCATTGCAGTGTTAGCATTAAAAGTTCTTTGTCCTGGGAAACCCCTAGTCCTCATCAAACTGGGGCAGATGGTCACCCTACTTCAGAGGAAGCATCATCCTACCTTTAAGGAGATGGCTCCCCCCTGGAGAACTCAACCAATACCATAATCAGTAATCAACATAAAAAGGAATTATTGAATCATAACACTGAGATGTAAGCATCAGTGATATACCCCAGAATGATATTTACCCCCCTGGTTTCTTTTCTTTAAAGTCTTCCTTCAGTGTGTGGAGATTCAACTTCACACACTGAAATGTGTTGAGGATTTCAAACTAATCTCTTGTGATCTACTCTTCTGTCCAAATTGACTCTCATAAAAACAAGCAGTACTTTATTGTCACAGTAAAGCTTAAATCCACACCTGAAAAGAAATGGTTCTCTAGAGAAATTTTATCTGTAGAGATGCATCTCTGTCTCCAGAATAAGCCATCTTTTCCATGGTTTCACTGAGCAGTTTAGCCTCAAGCTTCTCAAATATCTCCATTTTTAGGTGATGATTTTAGATTTATATTTGTATAAACTTCAGGTGTTTTTCCCAAAAGAAGAGTCCTTAATTTTTGAAAGACTGAAAATTTCTTGTAGCCTTAAAATTAGTTTCTTTAGTTTTTCTCACCGAAATCAAGCTTTCAAAATAATGTTGTTATTTGGGTCAAGTTTCAATGAGGGCTGTAGCTTTAGATGATTATGTCCCACAAGCCTTTCCAAGAAGGAAGCTTCTCTAAAACATGCATTCTGGGAATAGAAACTCAGCCCTGGATGGCAGCAAAGGGAAGTCTATTTGCTGCTCTTCATCTGGCTTCAGGAATGTGGCAGAGACTGCTTATTTAGCTGCCACTTAGTATTCTTTTGCCCCTGACTTTTAGAACTGCCCAGGGTAAAGACTAATTTCCAGTTAGGTGTGGCTGTGTGACTAACTTCTGGTCAGTGGAATATAAGTGGAAATGTCCTGTGCTATTTTCAAGATATGTCCTTATGGCAGGCGACATGCCTTTCCCCTTTCAGCTTCATGCTGGTTGGAATGTAGACATGATGGCTAGAGCTTGAACAGCTGTCTTAGACCTGGGATGAAAACCACTTACTGAAGATGTTAAAGTAACAGAATGGAAGCCTGGTGCATGTCACCAAATGGCCACTCCTTACCCAACACTGTGCATCTTTGGATTTCTTTTATATGACAGAGAAATAAATCTCTTCTTTGCTTCCTTACTCTTTTTATGTGTAATAGGCCCGAATCATAAATAAAAAGGTTACAACTGCCTCTTTCCAAAAGCAGCAATATTTATTACACAGAAAATGTTTAGAAGCAACATACATATCCAACAATGGGGAGCAAGGTCAGTATATCCTCTTAATGGAATATTGTGCAACTGTTAAGCATAGCAACTATTAAAGATTTAATAGGGAAATGATATAATGCAAAACAATAACACTTTCTGCTTAAGCTTTAAAACATTACTTAGGATATTTCCAAGGACAGCTTGGGAATATGAACAAATGAAAAGCTTTGTATTTTGGAAACATTGTTAAATTCTTCTCTTTTTTTTTAAATTTTTATTTATTTATGATAGTCAGAGAGAGAGAGAGAGAGGCAGGCTCCATGCACCGGGAGCCTGACGTGGGATTCAATCCCGGGTCTCCAGGATCGTGCCCTGGGCCAAAGGCAGGCGCTAAACCGCTGCGCCACCCAGGGATCCCAAATTCTTCTCTTTAGACTTTTGCAAATGTTGCTATGTTTACTCATTTTTAAGTCCCCTAAAACAGTAGTAGATGACAAAAGCCCAGTGTTTTGTCCTCATATTATGAACACTGGTTTTATCCTCTATTATAAAAATGTCACATAATTAAAGGAGGAGATTTTTAGTTTTTTTAGAAAATTTTAAAAAGATTTTATTTATTAATTCATGAGAGACATAGGCAGAGACACAGAGGGAGAAGCAGGCTCCTCGCAGCGAGCCCCAGCAGGACTGGATTTTTTTTAGAAAATTTTAAAAAGATTTTATTTATTAATTCATGAGAGACATAGAGAGGCAGAGACACAGAGGGAGAAGCAGGCTCCTCGCAGCGAGCCCCAGCAGGACTGGATTTCTGGACAGGGATTACACCCTGTGCGGACGGCAGATGCTCAACCACTGAGCCACCCAGATGTCTCAAAGGAGGAGATTTAAAAAATATATATATAATAAATTGTAAATGAAGCTAATGTGAGGATGCGTCTTTCACTTTGATTAGATTATGCACTCTCTAAGGGCTAGGACTTTCTTTTTTACACCTTTACTCTCCATCTCTCCTTCCTCCTTTGGAGGTGATAAAGTAGGCTATTATTGCTCACATTTGGTAATCCTTATTTGGAGTAATGTATGTGAATTGTTGAATTGACCTAGGATGTATGTATTATTTCACATTTATGCTGAACATATTAATTTGTCTACTAAGAGACTTCAGCAAGGGGCTATTGTAAGAATGAAAATGCCAACTTTGTCGGGTTCTGAACCCAAGGAGAATTTTGATCAGTATATAAGAAGCATACTTGTGGTCTCAGGCTTTTGGAACAAAATTAA